ATGCATAGCTTATACTCCTGCCTGAGTTAAATTTTCTGCACTAAATGAATACATGTATATCCTAAGAAATACAAGAAGCAACAAAAGGGAAAATTGGACCTTGTACAAAGTAGACATATTTGGCTGAAAAAAAAAATGTGATCATTACTAAAATATTTAGTTCGAAAAATATTTTACAAAAAAGGTTACTTACTGTGGATAATTTCAGTCCTACAGCTATAAGTATTGCAGCTATGCAGCATAGAGATTTGACAGTAAAGAAACTTGCAACTTGATTACATTCCTTTACGTACCTTAATACATTAAAAATTATTTTATCAGAAATACTTTATTACTTTCTAACATCAATCAAATAATCTCGTTTACCATATGATTTGCTGATGATTGTAAATGCAAGAAGAAAGTTCAGAAAATGTCTTTACATTCTCGAATTGACGTTGGAGGACACGCACTTTTATAATAGCCAAAAACAATAAACACGATATGATTGAGTCGATGTAAATTAGTGTTATTGAATAAGATACAGATATTAACTGGTGGGCGTACAAAAAACCAAACGTTATCGATGAATTAATTGAAAATGGGTAGTGAGTATTTAGTGGGAGCTTCACAGGTACACTACTGAGTGATCTGTGTAGGTAAATTGAGCACAAAGCAGTGTAAATTAAAAACAAAACGGTAAAGGCTATGGTGTACTTTTGGCCAATTTTCTGTACTGATGACATTTTGTAATCATTAGCTTGGGCAATAAAATCCTGAAATATTGCTAATAAGACCTGAAAACAGGTATTTAGGATTTATTTAATGGCATTATTCAATAATAATTAATAATTTCGTACCTTTATTCGTGAATTTCGTATTTTGAAGAATACCATAACAGCCATCATTTCACAATTGATAATCAATTCCACAGTTGCATCCAAAGATACTGATAAATCTGTTGCATTATGATGAACAGCAAAAGCAAGGAATATTACTATGCAAGAACAGTTGATGGAGAAAAAGTACCAGAGGAATTGGTCTAAAAAAATTTGGACTTTGGTAGCGTCATCACTCAATGGATAAATTGCGTAAATTCTTCCCATGATTTTGAAATTGCGATAATTGAAAATAAGTGATATGACCAGTGACATATTTTTTGCAAGACTTTGCCTTATCATGTTGAAAAATTGAATGAATACGTCAATCAACATTTTTTATGATCTGTAAATTACAATTTTTTTATGATTACTATTAATCTAAATTATAGTTCTTAGAATTTATTAATAAGTTCTTTATCGATTTAAATAAACTATTTTATTATTATTCTTTTTTAATTTAATTTTTATGTTGAAAAAAAAATGTTATTGCCGTTTTATCTACTTCAAACTTTAGGCTCTACTTAAATACTGAACAAAAAGTATCCGGAGCCACTATTATATAAATGGTCGTATCAAATATAAATGATCTCGATGGATCGATTTCTTGTAACGATGTCGGTTAATAACGAAAGTAGTTATTCTTCTAGTCACATTGACATTATTCTAATGGTTATGATATTAAATTATTTTTTATTGCCCTTAAAATAAATTTATAAAGGTTACCGCCTATAAAAAATTAATTGTAATTAAAAGAAAAAATGTTTTTTTAAATCATAGATTATTATTTTCCACTAAATCGGAGTCACCAGAAAATTTATTTTTAAATGCTTTACTAACTGCATTTCGAACTGTTTTCAAGAATATCGACGAATTACTGTATTGAGTGCAATACTCAAAAACAATTTTTGGAAATATAAAAAATTTGTTTTTTATTTTATTCATCAGGATTATATTCAAAACATAAAAGTCGTAGTAAAAATTACTTTTATCAGAATAAAACATACAATTTTTCCCAACTATACATGAAGGTAATCTATTTTGTGACAAATCGTAGTAAGATATTTAGTTTTTTCGTGGCTCATGAATGTATTAAATTGCAAATCAATATAAAATAACAGCGGATGCAACGAGTCTTCATTACACGCAATACTACCTGTAAAAATAATTATTACATCATCACCACATCAACCAATTAACGATATTTATTATTTTTTACAATAAATTTTTTTGGACACTTTAAAACAATTTTTCTGCGTACCTCTATCGGAGTTTATAATTGTAGAGGTGTCCTAAGAAATTCCATTGCTCCTGTAATATTTCGAGAAAAAAACAACACCATTTGTCAACCTCTTGCTTTGATCATACCAAAAGACTTCTCCATGCGTCCACACGTACAATCAAATGAAAGGGCTATCGGTGCATTTGATGTGTTAATTACTAAGGGGAAAAAAACTTTGACGTTTTTCAGTTGCAACGTGAGCTTTGAGTGTGCCTGCGCTCCTGGGTGGAAGGGCCTGTTTTGCAACGAGCCGATTTGCGCCGCGGACTGCAACCCGAGCCAGGGTTACTGCGAAAAACCGGGCGAGTGCAAGTATGATCCAAATTCAATTATTCAGTTCTATACGCTTGATACTTTTTTTTTTTTTTTTTTTTTTTAATAAAAAAGAAATT